ACCAGGCGCGTGTAACACGCGCAGATGGGCTGTTTAGCCTTGCCAGTCACTGCGTCCGATCCCAAATCCAGTAGTCCTGACTTAGTTTTGCTAACAGATCTGGATGGATGAGGGAAGGGAGAGTGCGGTAGACTCAGTACAAGTCTATTATCGCTATAAACTAATTCATGCGCAAACTACCTTCCTGTCCCCTCTCCGAAACCCTTATTACCATCATTCCTGTATTACGAGTTGGTGAGGGATGTGCACATTAGTAGCTAACCAACGGTTCTTATTAAAATTCGTATAATAAGGTTTTCTTCTATGCATGAAACGTGTCGAAATTTGCCGACCAACTTTTGGCCGGATCTAAAGTCAGACTGCGAGTCATGTGAAAAAGAAAGTTGTATGGTCCTGGTGCAGTTCGGTTAGCAGGAGACCAGCAACCTGAATCTGGGATGTTACCTTTAGTATGCCCGAGTTTTTTGATATTAACTGGATGCCACGCAAATTGAATGAATAGCAAACGAAAAAGATGGAATAAGTGTGACCATTTAAATTGAGGAAACTTGATTATTTCTTTGTTATTAATGGAGTCTTGGAACCATTTATACTTATTCGCACAATTATTTTAATTATTTGTGTGTTAGATGACCTGTAGTAGGAAAATGAGACCATTTTAAGTCTTCGGATCTAGGGAACCCCGACTGGGATTTCGAGAGCTGTGTGATAAAAGTTTCTCGCCTCATCTAGATCTTCGATGACATTACGGCAAAGAAGACGGACCAGTGGCCCAAGAGGGACAGAACGCTTATCTCATTGATTTATATTTCGGAAACAAACCTGAGCATATTTTGGATGGGGTGACTTCACTGCGCCGCTCATAATCTGGTAGACTGATAGGGCGAATGATCTTCCGTGCACAAAGTGTCCTAGGTATCGCAGGAGGACTACTTCATAAACTTTGTTTGCATCTTCAGGCCTCGGTAGTCCCTGAACGCCCTACTGGCTGGACCCTGCTTTCGCTCCAAAAGGCAAAACACTCTCCACATCCAACACCGACACCCCTATGAGTAAACGCGACTACTTGGTAACAGTCTGTCTTAAGCACTTACTTAATTAATAGACGTTAATCACCCAGAACCTCATGAAACTGCACCATCAAGCACGCATTCACATATTGTCATTGTGACATCCGTCAAGAATGAAGCAGACTGGAATGTCGGTGCTACGTTAGAGAATTTTAAGAGCAATCGTCGCTAGGTAATGGTCTACATTTCCCAGTAGATGTGCTGAACCAACACAGGTACTAAATCGGCGTCAGGTAGACGTCAGGGATGCGCACCCATTACAAATGTCAGCATTGGGGTGTGGTGGCAGGCCCAGTTTCCGATTCACGTCGCAACCATTGGGATCCCTACCGCCTAACCATTTTGTTGTTGGTCGAAATCCCGGCCAAATATTGTTTGGACCAAGGGGTGTAGAATGTAGCGCCAAGGCGCGGGCTCGGCCACGCCATCCATCTGCGCCCTCCCCCGTCTCCGGTCTTCACTATTCCTTGACACTAGGTTCGGGTGGAGAAGGACGAGAAATTGCGGTAGACGCAGTGCAAGTCATTGTGCCTGCTCTCAGCCCCGTGTGGGGCACACAGTGGATATTGTCAGGCACGACGGTCTAGCTTCCCCCAAGGCTGTACCCTACGCGCTGGACTTATGCCCATGGATTATTCGTGCTATTAAGTCATAAGGCCAGAAGAAGGAACAACTATTTTAAACTTAAGACGTCAGGGAAATTCCCAAAACATTAGCTGACGCATACTAAGGTAGGCATTCAAATACAGCAGAACCGGGTTGCAAAGGAAAATAGATTAGTTGGGGATGCAGAGCCCGACCTAGGAAATACTCCGGTTACGGTCAGAGACAATGAGAGAACCACAAATCTTCAAGTGTTCTGCGGAAGGAAAGTCGAACCTGTGCTGAAAATAACTGAGAAAGCACTTCTACACTGGATGAGTAATTCACTCAAATACTCCTTGTGGAACAGCAAACAGGCATGCTATGTTTCATTTCCTCAGCACTCCTTAACGAATGAAGAGTCAAGAAAAGTCCCCAGACGAAGTATACATTATCACATAGGACACATGAAACTATTAAAGACTCAGCAACCATATGCACTTCACCTTTCCGCCTTTGGTCCACCTAGCACACTGTAATGTGACTCGTTCCCCGCTCGCCGATACCCGGACGCCCATCAACTGGTCGCAGCCGCGCAAAGCTCAGGCGAAGGCATACACTCCGTGACGATGTCAACAAACAAGAACCGATGACACACAGTTGCTGAGGGAATCTGCTGCCGCTGTCGGCTGAGCGGCGTGCACACACTTCAGTCTCAGTGGAGAGTGTTAAAATTGAGATTTTCATCCAGTATTGCAAAAATGTCTTCAATACAGAGCTGGTTTTTCCCTCTCACCAATATTTACTTTTATCGGCTGCTTACATTCCCTGATTTGTGAATTGGGAAACTTTGAGTTGTCGGCCATCATATTTCGACTGCCAGACTCCCTTGTTCCCAATCTCTGTTATAGTCAGGTGGTGGCGATTCCGATGACGAGGCGTGGCATCTGTTAAAAGTGAAACCTTTCCCCTGCTAGCACTTGTCTCTGTTATAAGGGTTGGGTTAAACCGGGATTGAGCGATCCATGGTGACATTCTAAAGGTCGTTCTTTTTGAACTTTTACTCCGTACGATTGGCTATGCTGCAAGTTTATCGTAGTGCAAACAGCCTAGTCATGCCCCTCGTGTAGGTCAGCAGACATCTCCATTATCACCCTTGACGCAACCCCCACGACGACCACGGCGACGACTATCATCTGCGGTGAGTACACTCCCGGTGTCCAGTCGCTGCCACCCACCAGCATCATCCTCATCTTCACGGTCACAAAACCTAAGAGGACTACGAAGGCTACCGCGGGTT